AAAAATTGAAAGAGGCGAAAGGGGCGTTGCTGATGAGCGTAGTGAGTGAGATTTCCCACTGGATCGTTTGATTCGACCAATGAATGGCAAGCCCATTTCGCTGTGCATCGCGTACGTCGTTCGCTTAATAAGTTTTTTCCTTATCGATGTGTGTCATCTACGAGCGGCCAACCGGAGACCCGTCATTATCGTCCCTATCTCGGCTCATAGTTTTCATCATTTCCATCCAAAGTAGCGGTGCACAGCACACGCGGTTACTTACTCGTTAGGTGGAACGTGGCATTAATGCGGCGTGGTCTAACATGTGTCGCTGATTGCACGCACTTTCATCTGATTAGCTTTTAACGGGACGTGAAAACGTTTTCGGTTTCTTTTTTTCCTTTTTTCTTTCTTTCTTTCTTTTTCTTTTTTTTTCTTTTTTCTTTTTTTTTTTACGACATCTGACATGTACAACCCGTGTTTCTTAATGCGATTGTCATATTAATTACTTGTTCCTATCTTTTACGTAAATTTATGGCTGCCACCGAATACACACCCTTTTTTCATTCGATTATATATCTCACGGCTATAAATGTGTCGCGTTGTTATATCTTGGTATTTGTTTTTTCTTTTACAAGAGTTTAGAATTAATTTTTCCACGATCGTAAAAATCGTAAAAACAAGTATCGATTAATTAAATTTAAATCGAGTAAGTATCGATGAAATTTGTATAAACTAAAAAAAAAAAAAAGAAAGAAAGAAAGAACGTACGTATAAACAATGGATAAACGTTGATTTTAACGCGAAAGCTTCGCAGCGAAGGATTGGAAAAGATTGGAAAGAATTGGAGGAAAGCATTCCGCGATAATAATGCTCGCAGCGGAAATTCCGTGACCGCCCTTGATATCGAGTCCATACTGATGGAGATTCGCAGCAAGGGTGCGAGACAACGTGGCACGATTCGGTCAAATTTGCATGCATTAACGCCACAAGCGCGGCTGATTGACAATCCGTGTGTCATTGTGACGTCAGTCAAATCGCTCGAGCATCCTCGACCAATCGCAATCAATTAAGGTAACGATTGATTGTTACGCGTTCCGACTCGACGAAGGGAATATATCGCCGAGCCCGTATTTATGCGGATGATAGACGCGCCATTGAAAATCACAATATCGGAATCGACCAGGGACCGGCTTAAACCTTCGCGCGTTTAACGGATCCACCATGGTTTTTTTAAACCATTTTCCCCTCCCCCACACCCTTTTCGTTCTACGCTCGAGTAACGGGCGAGAAAGCCGTTAAATTCGTTCGCGTTTCGAAGGGAAATCTGATCCCTCCTCGAAGGGTGCAAGGAAGGAGGGAGGAGAACGCGATCGTCGCTCGCGTTGATCGCGGTATTAATCGGGCAACGGGTTATTCTCGCGGTGAAAAATTGAACGGTGTCGGCCCCTCGAAGGGAGGCCCATACGTCGAGAGGAAAACGGAACGATGGCCGTCGCTCGGCCACCCGAAATGGAATCC